ATTTATTTGGGCATTTATTGGTCTTTTGGGTAAGCAGCGTGTTCTTTTCAGAAAAGGATCAAAAAAAATCTTTAAAGCCCTGTTTTATGGTTGCAAAACAAGGTCCCACAGTAAATTTTCATATGTTTGATTCAGAATACAAGGAATTTGATGGCTGACTGAGCTCACGTGGTAGAGAGTTTCCAGGCAGAAACCCCAGGGGTCTGGGTGGGTACGGTCTACCTGCCGCCCTTGGGGTGCCAGCGAGCACAAGCAGATGCTGATGAGATTCAGGCCAGATGCAGATGAACAAGCAGGGCAGGTGTGTGTATGTGTGTGTGTGTCTGTGTTTTCTGGGTTCTGTGCACTGATTCACTTACTGAGCCTCTACTGTGTGGGGGCACGGGCCTGGACTGGGGGAGCCGCCATGTGGGGGCCTGGTCCTGGACTGGGGTGCTCTGAGGAGCTCCTGTCCTGGTAAAGCTGACCTTCTAGTAGAGAGAGAATGGCCACGGTTAGATGTGTGCTGTAACAGGCTCTAGAGAAGGCGAAGCTGGATGATTTAGTTGGGTTTGTTAGCATTCGGCCCAGGATGGGGAGATAATGCCACTGAAGGGGTGTCTTACTAACCCACGGATCCCCAGGAGGGCATCACATCCTGGGGGGGGGTGCCTTGTGGGAAGCCAGCTGGGTCTGGGCAGAGGTGGGGGGTGGAGCAAATGCCGCCACACTGGGGTTTCTGTGGGTAGGGCTGGGTGACATAGGGGAGCAGTCTGCGCATGGGCTAGTTTGGGTGAAGGCTGCGGGCCTGACCGAGGGGCTGTCCCCCACGTCTGGTAATGGGACTGGGATGGGGGAAGTGGCCCGGCGCGTGAGAGCCTGAGGGAGTGGGGGGCTGTGGGGTGAGGTCTGGATGGGGCTTGTATTTGGAAGCACACCCCTCCTCTGGGAGGGCCTGTCCCTTTGCGTCAACAAGGCCCAGACGACCAGGCATCAGAAGACATGGTGGTTACCTTGGGCCAGAGGGAGAGATGCAGGTGCTGTGGACGAGTCTTAGGGAAGAGTCTCCCAGACCTGGAGAACAGAGTAACCATAAAGGCCCGGAGCTGGATCTGTTTAACAACTAGAAAAGAGGTTGGTGCTGCTGGAAGGGAGACATGAAGGGGAGCCAAGGACCCCAGGCCGGGAGGTGAGGCTGAGAGGCCTGGCTGAGCGGGGTGGACTCGCAGGGCTGGGAGGGGTGATCTGTGCAGAAGCGAACGAGGTCTGGCTTGAGTTCTAGAAGTCCCTCTGCTGTACAGAGACTGGATGAGGTGGCCAGGCAAGCAGGGAGGGGCTTCTGGAACCATCCAGGCTGGAGAGGACGGAGCTGGCCCACTGGTGGGGGCGGGAGGCAGTCTCGAGGATAACGGGGCTGGGTGGGGGCATAAGGAAAAGACAGGGAGCAACAGAGGGCCCAGGGAGGCGTTGGGAGGAGTCTTATTTATTTTTTTCGGAAGGAGAGCGTGTGAGGCCGTATCAGCAAATGGGGATCACGTGGAAGCAGGCGTCCTGGTGCTGATGCGTCCCCTGCGCCCCAGCCGCACCCCCACTCCACATCCCACTAGCACAGAATCGCGCAGAAATACTTTGTGCATGAAATTATCGACACCTCTCAGGACAAACGTTTCTGCCATTTGGGTTGTTTCTTCCCAGCTGTTTTCATGCAGCCTGTTGCGAGAAAGGTCTCTGGGCTGTGTCACTTTGCAAGGCTGAGTTTTCTCCCTGGGAGGCTGTTCCCAACAGGGGATGTCTCCATGTCCACCTGCTCCCTCCTAGTTGGGGGGGAGGGGCGTGGGGGGGGCTTTCCGTCTCTGGGTCTCTGCACTAGCTGTCCACTGGGCTCCCAGCCCAGAGTCCTTCCTGCCTCCCGTGAGCCCTTCCTCCTGTCCCCCGCCCCTCTGCCAGCTCACCCCCTCCTGACCATTAGAAATTTAATTCCCCTTTCACCGACTGTCTCCCCCCATCACTGTGGGCTCCACGAGGGGATCAGCTTGGCCCCTGAAATGCTCTGTGGGGGGTGATGAGGGCGGCCATCCTGACGGGTGTCCAGCAGCTGCGGGGGCCAGTACTCACCTCCTGTGCTTCACTGGGCACTTGGTGGCCAGCTAATGCTGCCTCCCTGGGATACTCAAGGGGAGCAGGCTGGGAACAGGGGAGCAAGCGGGATCGAGTCACACACACGCTGAGGCAGGTCCCGCTTTATTTAAAAGACACTGCGTTCATTGTGGATTTGGGGCATTCGTTTTGCTTTTTAAAAGTAGTGCGTGGCAATATGATCGGTCTTCATGGCTGGGTTTTTAAATGCCGAGCCCAAGGCGAGAGGTCCTGGCCCGTTTGGAGAGGGGTGTGCTGAGAATCTGAGGGTGAAAGCAGCCTGGCTAACCCTCACTTCTCTTCTTCCAGAAGCGCTGAGCGAAATCGGAGTTGGGGGACAGCTATGTAAGCTAGAAATCAGAACACCTCTGGGAAGGTCGAGCGGCTGTTCCCCTACAGCACTGATTCCCACACAGTGTGCAGCGGCCAGGAGCCGGACTGCTTGCATCGGGGTCTGAGGGGGCCCGTGAGGGCTGGGCAAGGAACTGTGTCCCCCACTTCAATCAGTCACTCAGAACCACTCTTCTGTCTGCTCTGTGCCTGGGTTTTCTGCGTCAGCTGTCGCACTGGAGGTTGCTGATTGCATGTCCCGAGGCTTCGTGAGTCTTCATGAGGGCCAAGGGCTTCAGCCCCGTGGGGGATGTGCATGTCAGGGAACCCCTCTGTCCCTGAAGTCTTGGGAGGTGTCTCAATTTGACTCCCAATGCCCCCCACCCCCCAGTGGCCAGCAGTGATCAGATGTTGCACAAGAAGATCTCAGACACATTCACACTTCAGGGACCAGTCGCTCCTCTGCACCTCCCAGGCTTTTTCCTTGGCGTCGTGGGGTGCAGGGCCCCCTCTTCTACCCAAGTGGTACTTGTTTCCCACTCTCGAGTCTCAAAGGGCTCCCTTTCGGCCTCGTGCTGTGCCAGGTTTGTGTTAGCATCTCCAGCATCTCCCTCCTCTCCGCCACGCTGGAGGGAAAAGGTCACGCCATAATCCAAGGTACCCTCACTGTGACGGCAGGGCCCCATCACTGTGACACCCTCGGGCCAGGGAACGTAAGGCTGATTAGTCGGATAACTTATGTTCCGGGCATGAGTCAGGGGAAGCAGGTGCCAGGGGAGTCTTTGACGCAGCGTGGTGATTATTTCCATGTGGCATGCCTCCCCCAGGGGAGAGTGGAGGGGCCGTCGGGAGGTCCAGGTCTCCAGGGCCAAAAGCAGATGCCTTTTCTCTTTCCGGCAACCTTTAATGTTTGTCTCCGTTCTCGTTCATTCAGCAAACATCGGCTGAGCACCTGCAGGTGCCTGGCCCTGTGCTAAGCTGGGAGTCAGAGGCAAACATCTCTGGCTGCCTGTGTGTGTATGGGGGGGCGGGAGGAGGGGCAGACATTAACTGAGCAGCAGAAAAACAAATGAGGCCATTTCAGGGGTCGGTGGGTAAGTCAATGAAGAGAAGCAGCGATGGAGGCCAGTGGGGGGGGCTGGAGGTAGCGCAGTTGTTGTTGGGGAGGTGGTGAGGAAGCCAGCAGGCAGCGTTGATGGGGTGGGCATGCCCAGCAGGGTGGGCATGCCCAGCAGAGGGTCTGCCATGTGAGGCCCCGACACGGGGTGGCGGGTGTGTGGGAACAGCAGAGTGGTCAGGTGAAGTGAGCAAAAGAGGCAGGCAGGTCAGGTCGCGGGTCAAGCAGGGGCCTGAGTTTTATTCCCACATAATGGACAGCTTCGGGGGGGGGGGGGGTTGTGCAGGGCAGTCACGTGATGCAGTTTGCGTTAATGAGTGGTTTCTGCTGCCCTCCTAAGAGAAGGCCTCGGTCAAGGCAGCAGCGGCTGGGGTGCAGGAGAAAGGGGGCTCAGAGTGGCACAGGCTGTGACCCGACCTGCAGTGAAGCCCCTCCCAGGCCTGGCACAGGGCAGGGGTGCGGGAGGCGGTGGAGAGGTGCCTAGCCATCTAGCCAGGTAGACTGTTGTGGGGGCCTGGGGTCCCCTCTCGAGAGGACGCTACCCACACGTCACAAGTTTGGGGACTGATCTGACTGGGAACTTTCTGGCTCTTTGGAGGCAGTGGGGAGGGCCTCTGGGGGGACTTTGGGTGCCATGGAGGCCCTTGGGGACGCTGGACTGTGCTGCTCACTGTGCCAGGGGCCGTGGCCATATTCCTCAAGGTTTGTGTTTAGATTTGGGGAAATGATAGTAAGCATTTATGTTCAGATACTAAAATAAATGTGGACTAAAATAAGAGCCCACCGTATGTCTTAAAGATAAAAAGAAGCGCATCCCCGCTGGTCAGCCCTGCTGACCGCCCTTGGTGTTTGTTCACCTGGTAGAGGTGCCTTGGGGGCCTGTTTGAGAAACAGGACATCGGGTGCCAAAGAGGAGAACGGGGGAAGGGAGGAAAGAAAGGGGGGCGAGAGGCTGGAGGCGGGAGCATCAGAGAGAACCCACCGAGGAAAGGCAAGGTGCACCCCAATTTCCCTCCAACCCCACTGGCCTCAGCCACGCCCCTGGGGGAGGCCCCTGGGGGGAGGCCCAGTTCCTCTCCTCAGGCTGGTCTGCCGGGAAGTTCCCCTCCCTCAGAGCCCGCCAAGGCATCTTCTTCCCCTTGCACCCCCTTTCTGTCACAAAGGCGCGTGCTCCCCACTAGACGGCAGGCAGCTGGGCTGCTGCTATTGTAGTCTCCCCGCGGCCGGTGAAGCAGATCTTAGCCGGCTACTTAATTTACACGGTGGGAAGGACAAGCCACCTCCTGCGGAGGGCGAGGCGAGGGCTGGGACGCGGGGCGGCGTCGGTGCC